ACTGTGTTCGAAAATGTTCGGAGTGAAATATCGGATAGGCTGTTCATATGTCAAGAATTTCCAGGCAGCCATTTCGAACCTCTTCTAAACTGACCTAAATGTCAATGTATTCAGGCAATTATTAAAAGTTCCGCCATTTTATAGTTGTTGAAGATATTGACATTATATTCTAGGGTTGTGAAGCATTTGTCAGGTGCTTCAGAAATATGTGTCACAAGAGCCCCCTTTCCGTTTAATTTTTTTCCCAAATGCCGCCCGGTCGTCATCTTGAAAATTCCATCTATCAATTTCACTTCAAATTAAAGTATTCATGCATTAATTTCATTATCCCAAATTTCAATTTTTTGAGTTGACCCGTTCAAAAAATAAAAGGGGCGACATTAAAGAAATGCACTGAATATATCAGGCAAAATCATGTATATATACAATAAATCTAAGCATATTCAATTCTTTAATACCGCTGAAAACAATGTGAATTCTAATTCTTATGAATTTTAAGTACCAATAATACATAAAATGAAGGATTTTAAAACCTGATTAAACATCATAAAATACGTAGTTGTTACTGTATACTCTAGTCCTCTTCAAAATTGACTTGTTCATATCAGTACAAATCTCACTCTTCTATTAATTAAATATTAACGTTTTGAGAAAAACGTATGTCAGATACTTCATCCAGAAAATATATTAATCACTATTCAATTCTAATTAGCCTTCGTCAGCATTCCAAAAGTTGAGTTGAGATCTTAAAAAAAAAATTGTGATTGAACAAGGTGTCTCAAATTCTAAGGTGACCATTGGTCACCCTAAATTATTTTTCTGACGTTGTTTGGAGCTTGAAAAACAAAAAAAAACTTTCTTGAAGCAAATTTTTTGCTTTCTATAACACGCAGTGCTCATATTTTGAATCCGAAGTTTCATTCGTAAGAAACCATCATCAGCTTTTTTTTAATATATGGATCGATATAAGACACAAACTGAAAGAAAGTCCTCCTGAAACAGCTACTTTCATATAAACATTGAATTACACGAAAGAAAAAAATTCATTCGAAACAAATACTTCTATATGCACACTGAATTATACAGAAGATACTTTTCTTTACTCAGTTTGTATTTCGAACATTCGTTGTGGAATAAAATCATTCACGTTAGTTCTACTTTAAATGAATGGTAACAAATTTCACTTACATGTTATCCAATCTGGTATTGAAGAGCCTTAGGGCAAGTGTCCTAAAGGCGAAACATCGATGTATACCAGTGAGGATGACGGTGTTCCATGTAAGTGCAATTTGTTACCATTGATTTAAAGTAGAACTCCTGTGATTGATATCTGATTTTATTCCACAACGAATGTTTGAAATACAAACTGAGTAAAGAAAAGTATCTTCTGTATAATTCAGTGTTCATATAGAAGTATTTGTTTCGAAAGAATTTTTTTCTTTCGTGTAATTTAATGTTTATATGAAAGTAGCTCTTTCAGGAGGACTTTCTTTCAGTTTGTGTCTTGAAAGTTACTTCTTTGCATGATCTACACATCCATGTATAGAGTTACTTATTTTCAAATTGATTCCTTCCTTTCTTTGGAAAGTTCTCTCATCCATTTTTTTGTATCAAGATGGAGTAGTAGAAAGCCAAAAACTTTCTTTTCCAATAATTGAAGATATTCGATAGAACTTTTCAAAAGGAATTCAATGATATATCGCAACCTATTATTTGAAATGGTTTGTGTCCTTCAAGATTTCTAGTAGGTTTCATTAATATTTCAAAACAAAAATATTCAAACATTTCGTTACAATAAATATTCACTAAAAAAACAATAAGCAAACTAGAACTAAGTAGGTAAGAACTTTGAACATCAATCACAAAACAGTAATAAATTATCGACACTTATTCATAAAAGATGTGCAAATTGTGTAAATCTTCTGCTTCCATGCATTTTGTACCAAGCTGGCCTAATTTCAACATGGAACGTTGAATGAAGAACGTTGAATGGAGAACGTTGAATGAACCCGGCGAAAATTGACCTAATTTCTTCGATTACTGTAGAAATATATTTTCCATTTGTTGGTTATCACCTTCATGTCTAGAAAGAGTAATTCATTTTTTGACTCCTGCTCTATTGAGTCTAATGTTTTCAATAGATCACCACATTAATTAGTTTCGGTAGGATATTTGTATGGTATATCTTAAGAGAAAACTCAAAACTTCTCTTCATCTATTTGAACTTCTCTGGGTAACATTCTTCTTTAGTGGCTCTTGGATAATTTATTTTTTGTTTATATAGAAATCTACACACAATTTGTGTTTTTTTGTAAGGCTGGAATAGGTTAATGATGAGTGAATAGATAATTTATGTAAACTTGCTGAGAGCTCGTGAACATGTGGTATCGGTACTGAAAATACAACTTGTTTTATCTTGATTCACATTTTTAATGTTGTAGTCTGTTGGTCGTTGCTTATAAACTATTTTGAATCAGTTTCATTGGAATCGCATCTACTAGTTCATTTTGAACAACTGAACATATTTCATATTCATCATTTTTTAGTTGACACTGGAGACTGTCAAGAGCCTAATGAAGAACTGAGACAAGGTGGACCTAAAGATTGTTGTGATATCTGCTACACAATCCTAGGTGAGTTGAACTTTTCAATTAAAATAAGATTTTTCTTATTATACTAGTCAAACTTTAATCGTCCTTTTAATTTTCTTTATTGAATCCATACATTTGAATTTGAAGAAAATAATTCAATTTCTAATGCATTTGTGAGTAAGGTCGACAGAGAATTCAATCCTTCGAAATTGAAGATGAACAAGGCTAATATTGAATCATAAATGCCTTGTGTTTGGGCTTTGATTCCCAATTGTAATACCTTTACTTACAGTTATTCGCTCGAATATTTTCAAAACAAGTTGATGAAAAACAACTTCTCCGTTATCTTATCAAACCTAATATTTTGATAATAATTATCATCAAATGAAGAATATATGCTCACCTGCTATCATTTTCAGACATCGGAAAAATTATCATCGATTCCTGATATTGAGAACGTGTTCCCGAATTTTAACATCCTGAGTCAAATCACTGCCAGTAATGAACGATATTTTTTACAATATAACAAGTTTTTTTCCATCGATACTAGATCATTCCCAGGTTCCATTAAACATCAACCGCTCGATACTTGGGTAGAGAAAAAAATATCAATTGGAGTATATAATTCACTCAATCAAATTCACTACAGGAAAAATTTTCAATATTATCGAACGGATGAATCAGCAACTATTTTTTCAGTTCATATTTAATTTTTGTATAAAAGTTATTTCATTCCATCAGGTAGATCATTTAAAATTTAGATTTCTGTATATAGAGGACTAGCGACCCGCCTCGGCTCCGCACGGGTGCAATGATGATTCAAAATATAAATTCACCCACCAGACATTCACGGGCATGGAGAAATAGTGGTGACACGATAATTTTGTTTTATGGGCGCACGTTTTTCCCGCTGCTGGCGCTTCAGTCGAAATTTCAAAAAAATCATTTTTTATTGCACATCTACAATATAAAAGGAACTAACAATACATAATTTCAGCCTCCAAAAATATACCGGTATGGAGAAACAGTGATGACAAGGTAATTTTCATATGTAAACACCCCCCTTCTATCCCCAGTAGGGGTCCCTCAGTTGGAATATTTGAAAATCCTTTCTCATTGCACATCTACAACATAAAACGAATCTACACACCTACAACATTTTAGCCTCCGAAAATATATGAAAACGCTCCCTTCTTAGCCCCACAAGGGGCGCCTCAGAATATTTTTTTATTGCACATCTACAACATAAAACGAACATAGATACACCCCTTTTATCCCCACAAGGGGCACCCCCCGTGAGGGGTACAAGTTTTTACAAAGCAATTTCGGAGAAAAATATCTAATGGATCTATGTTCAATGACATTTATTGTGAGGTTATCACACAATAATTAACAAAACCCCAACATGTGTTCAACTTCTTTGGAAGTATCTAATATTGAACAAATATGTTAATAAATGGAACTATAATCACTTTCATCAATTAGGGACTTGATTACTAACATTCAATAACAATTAGGCAAGCTGTTTTTTAGTCTAATCTTACTATTGCTATCTCGGGAACGGAAAAACCTACAATGTCAGTTAAATTGGACAGAAGTTTTCTATTTTGTAAAACTGAAATAAGTTCTTTCCAGATTGAGAATATCTACAATGGTTATTTTTGGAATATTCGCCAAAAACTAAAATTGTCAAATTTTTTGGCTTCAACGCCTCCATTTCAAATGATATAAAAAAAGGCAAAGGAACTTTCAATAACGTTTCGTTCATTGGATTTCATCACCAACTTCATTTTTTCAACACGGACCTGTATTGTAATACATAGATGAATTTGTCATTACAGTGGCTACAAAATCGATGAAAAAAATAGAGGTCCGTATTTGAAAAAATGAAGTTAATGATGAAATCAAATGAACGAAATGTCGCATTGCAAATTGGTTCATATGAAATTATAACAAATATGAAACAGTGTTGAAAGTGCCTTTGCTTTTTTATAGCATTCAAAATGGGGGCGGTAGAGCCAAAAAACGAAATTTGACAATTCCACTTTTTAGCAAATACTTTAAAAACAACAACCGATATTCTCCATCTGAAAAGGAATTATTCTAGTTCGCCAAAATAGGAAACTTTTGTCAGATTCAACCGACCTTGGTTTTAGCGTTTCCAATATATAGTGGGATCACCAAACGAATTAACGGCCTGTATGAATAGGCTGACTGAAAAAGAAGATGTAATGAATATTGACTCGATTTTCGCACGAACTCACTTAAAAATTATTGATTTCATCATCGAAAAAAATTGAACTTCGTCCAAAATCTACTTGATCAAAGTGTGCGTTTCAAAGTCTACATGAAAAAACCTTAAAGCTCTGAAAATCAAAGATCAAAACATCAAGTGTGCTACATTTTTGGAAAGGTTATTTCAAGTTCAGCTCTATAGAAATGTGCAGGAATATACAGAGTGTATCATTAAAAAATTGTTATTCATCAATAACAATTGATATCTCATTTGAAAACATAAGTTTTCTACACCATTGAGCTCTTGTAAAAAATGGTTTGAAATTTTTTTCATAGCAACCTGACAGAAAAAAAGTTACAGCAACTTTTCGAAAATGCACATTTTCGAAAAACACGCTGTAACTCAGAAACGATTATAGATGTCTAAAGAAATGTACTGTTCAAGCCAGTCTCGGATATACCTACACAGTAGGTTGAATGGACTGATATATGTACTGTGTAGGTATTTCCGAGACTGGCTTAAACATTTAAAGTTCATTTCTTTAGATTTATTTACTGCCTCTCTTCAAGCATAGCGCACTGACTAATAAGAAACGATGATAGATATCAATAAGCTGTTTTCACCATTCGACCCCCAGACAAAACCATCAGTTTTCATCTATCTATTTTGAGAACAGGGGTTTTCTTTAATAGTCTCCAAGTGTTCGGCTCAGAATTGGGACACTCAGCACAAATTTAATCTATTGTCTGACAGTGGTCCATGTATGGTTTGTTTCAGTCTTTATGATATTGGAAGTATTTATATGATTTTTCACCAGATTCATTACGTCACCCCCTCTAACCATCTTTGCAATTCGTGTTTTTCAGTATAAATATATTGTATGTTGCAACATAGTTCCTCTGAATAGATGTCCTCATAAAACTAACTTTCAGTTATAATAATAATGTCATAATTTGAAGAACTTATTGCTAAACTTTAGATATTTTAGTTGGCATCCCATTTATTGAACATTTTCCTGAAATGTTGTTATTGCCCAATTTTGTAACAAAGTAAAATAGTTACGAATTAATGTGCAATAATACCACTTTGAATAATGAGGCCACATGACGTTGAGCAGACATTTTTATCTTTTAAAATGAATACAAAATCATTTAGTGTGATAACTTGAATCAGTTGTTTTTATATGTGCAGTTGATTCGATATAAATATTTTCATATCATATACTGCAGTCAAAATATATGAGAACTTCAGAACTTCCTACTATTCACCTGAACAAGGTCTGTAACTCACTCAGTTTACCTAATCTAAAGGAAGCAAAAGACATATATTTTCATGAGAATCAATTGAAGTTGTAGACTCCGTACTTGACTCATCTTCAGGTAACCATAGTAGTAATTATCTGTTGTGCTCATAGTTATGTGGGTTGTAGTATATTTGTTACAAAAAGAAAAATGTAACTATCACCTTAACAACAGAGCGTTTAGATCTGAATCTTTCCAGTCAATGACTAAGACTGTTGCTAAAAATTTCATAAGAGACAGATGAAAAAAGTTTTCTTGCTGAATAATCTACCTAAAATTACAAAAATAGGTTTTATAGTCTTTTCATGTTATACCACGAAAAAAGGTTTTTCTTTCGTTTAGAAGACAACTCTTCTCAACTCTAGACCATTAGTAGTATTAAAAATCATAGGATCGTTGTAAATCAATGATGAATGTTTTGATTTCCACAAACAATACCTGTAGCTGACCTGGAACCGGAGATGAGAAGATTATTTTGAGAATCACTTTGACCATACTTCTGCAACTGTTCACCAAGGGATCATTCAACTCAAACCCATCAGAAATATGAAAGAAATATGAAGGACTACTGTGAATAGTTGATGTACCCTTTGTTTAATCTACTTCATATCCCTTCTGAATGGATACCCTGATTAATCACCTAAACAATAATGAATTCTACACAATTGTATATGTGGATGACATAGTTATCTTGCAGACCGGCAAATTTGTGAACACACTGTGCGATAGAGCGCAGGATGGACTCAAATTAATAGAAACATGGTGTAAGGAACATTCACTGTCGATCAACCTCAAGAAAATTGAGATGGTCTTTTCCACCAGGAAAAAAAGTTTATCGGGCTTAAAACCTCCCGAAATAATTAAAAGCAAATTGAACTTCGCTGAAGAGGTGAAATACCTTAGTAATATCCTCGACAGGAAGCTAACATGGAACTCTCACCTACAATACGAAGCCATTGCATGGGGAACTGAAGTTCTACAAGCAACGGCCATCCAAAAATTATATCATCAATCCATCAATGGAATTAGTTACGAATCTGACCCCTCTGGACCTGTACTTTGAGGAGGTTGCGTTAATGGCCTTGTTTCGATTACGCACGGCTGGTGTGAACCTCAAAGTAGAAATGGGTGAATTGAGGCTGAGCCTATGGCGAGAAGCGCTTACTGCGCAACCTCTGCTGCAGGCAACCAGTGATGCAATTGAACCCAGGTTTGAGTTCAATAAATCCTACAAAATACAAATAAAATAGAACACAGAGTCAGATGTTACAAATGCAATACGCATATATACAGACGGCTCAAAAACCAAAGAAGACTCAGGATGTGGAGTGTACTCCGGATCACTAAGTCTAAGAATTGAATGGAGAATGGGAAAAAATACCAGCGTAGTTCAAACAGAACTGGCTGGTATCTCAATCGCCACAAAAGAAATAACCAGGAAAGGAATTTCTGGCGAAAACATAACATACTGCACTGATAGCAGACAAGCCGTATTATCCGCTGTA